TATTCAATTCTATAACTTTATTGACCATTGCCCTAAGAGCATTTCACCACTTAATAGTGTGCTTAAGTCAGCTTCCCTGGCTAGAGGCTCATGATAGTGAAATATAAATGTTTTTATACCCTTTTTTTTACCTTGTCCTAATAAAGGGTTGGGAACCTTGCTTTACTAAAAAGTTAGGACTCAAACCTAACCTCTATAAAATACATTTATAAGTTTGATATCCTTTTAGGGGAGTTGAGCATAGCTCCTTATGCCTTGCCGACCTAACTAAATCTATGTTAATTAGTTTACCCTCAGCACACGTTTGGACCCAACTTGGGATATTCTCAATTTCTCAAATTGATGGTTTTTATTAAATTTTGTATAGGAATATAAAGTTCTACCTCATAAAAATTCCTACACTAGATCTTACATATTTGCTAGGTTCTCCTTTGGTTCCTATGTTGCTTTGCAAAATGAAAATTCTTTCCACTTCACATGGAACTTTTTCACTTTGTGTTTTTATTGCTTGCTCTTATGTACATTGAGGATAGCCTTGATTTTGTATTTCTCCTCCCCTTGGATAATGTTGAATAAGAGTTTCAATTGGTCTTTGCAAAATGGGTTCTCAAAGTATGGCTTGAGTCAATTTTGTGGATAACCATGGTTGATATTTAGCTTCAAATTAATTATGTAAGATTTGGAGGGGCAAATTTTTGAATTTAGTCATAAAAATTGCTGCCATATATTTGTGGAGGGTGGTTCCATTGTCAATGTTCACTTCTTGCACTATTGGTGGTTCAATTTGACATAAAATTGAATGGTGAAATTTTTTAGATTTCCTTATCATGGTGCTTAATCAAAGGGTTTGTATGGACAACCTTGGTCAATGTATTGGTGAGTAGAATGTCTAATATATTACATGCTCCAGTAACTCACATCAGTGGAGGGTCATGTAGGGAAGTCATCATAAATGGCTTAATAGAAGCTGTGATAGAATATAATTAGCATATTGATAATCAAGTGGTTAGGATAAATTTCACTTCCTCTAGAGTGTAGTAGATGGCCCTAGTTACTAGGTGGAGAGCTTGAGTTGACCACTTAGAAGGGCCATTGGGAATAAGACTATAATTAAATGTTGTTTTAGTGAATTATTATATGTAAATTTCCCCACAATTAGCTTATATGACAAGGGTTAGCTTATGACAAGGGTGATACCCAGGAAAATCAAGCCATGAAGCTTGGAACTTTCTAGATAGCTTTAAGCTCAGCACTGATATTCACTCGAGTTCATCTGGATTTGTTGGGGTTTTAACCAGCCTAAAAGGTTATTTAACTGGGAAGTTAAAGGATTAACTATTTTTACAGTTTAAAATTTAAACCAAAGTTTCAATGAAAACATTACAGACCATGAAATTGACGTTGCAAAGATCTAGAAAGCTAATTATGGATCAAAGTCAAGGCAAAGATGAGCACTATAGCGAGCTTCCAAGTTAGCAAGCTTCATCTGGAAATCTCGCTCCAGCTCAAACCTACACTGCACGAGCTGGGGATCCAATCCTTCTCTTGGCCTTACGATCAGGGCAGTGGACAACGAGCTTCAGCAATGGGCACTTCATCACCCCTTCGATCACATTTATGATAGCGCTGCCATTGCCAAGGATCTTCATCTCGAGCTCGCCAAGTTTGTTGAGGTGATGCCAAACTTGGAGTAAACATCAATATGGAATAGAAAAGCAGCTCTCCAGTTCTATGGTGTAGCAAAGAAAAAGAGAGCTTCGTACCTTGGTGTTCTTGAAAACAGGAGTCTTGTAAATCTCTCCACAAGAGAAAAGGGGAGCCACTCTCCCTCGATGATCAAAGCCTCTGCTCGATCAAACCCAGATATGCCACAAAACTCAGCAGTAAAATGCACAAGCTCCAGCTCCTTCGGATCTACAGTTGCAACTTCCAGTCCGTGGACGTGCAAACGCTTGAGACTGGGCGTCTCCAAATGGACGCGTGGGAGAGGGCAGGTGGTTACGTTGAAAAGCAGCACCAGATCCTCGAGACACTCATTCTTAATCGTGGTACTCTCACAGGGAGGATCCATTGGCAGGTAGAAGCTCGAGCGGATCTCCATCACTTTGAGCTTCACAAGCCTTGGTGCAAGTGATTCTACCTCCCCACTTGACGGTGATGCGTATCAACTGCCCCACCTTGCGGCAAACACCCTTACTTGACCAGACCACCCACGGCAAACTCCGAGATGATTCCAGCTCCAAGGTCTCCAGGGATGGCGGAGCGAAACGCAAGAACGGCTTCCATGAAAACAACCCCCCACCGACATTGCTATCCAACACAGTGCGTAGTTTTGACAAGGTTTTCGCCTTGGATAGCTGCTGCAATAGTGCCTCTTGAGTCTTGACCAAGGCATGATTGTCCGGGATGTTGAAGCGAAAGGCCATGGACGCTACTTCGAACTGGAGGCGTCTCACAGCTCCGCTTGACGTTGCGAGGATCGCGACCTCGTGTCGCTCCATGCGCTGGAGAATGTCGATCACCACTTCGTCCGGGAGGAGAGCGAAAGGATCCGGCACCGCCATAGCCCAGATCAATCTT